AGCCTGACAGAGATACAACAACAAAGAAAAGAGAATTTTAGACAATATCCCTGGATTAACGTCACTGCAAAAATTCCTCAATAAATACTGGCAAACAGAAAAAAAATCAGCGCACATCAAAAAGCTTATCCACCATGATCAAGTGGGCTTCACCTGGGAGCAAGGCTGTCACATACGCAAATCTAAAGTCAGTCCGATTAAACGAACCCAAAGACAAAAACCACATGATTATCTCAATAGATGCGCCTCATGCTAAGAACTCTCTAATAAATTTGTATGATAGAATGATAGCTCCACAAATAATAAGGCTGATTTAGACAAACCACCAGCCATACATACTGAATGGGCAAAACTGGAAGCATTCCTTTGAAACTGGACAAACAGGGATGCACTCTCTCACCACTCCTGTCAACATAGTGTTCGGAAGTTCTGGCTAGGGCATCAGCAAGAGAAAGAATAAAGTTTATTCACTTAGTGAAAAGAAGTAAATTGTCCCTTGGTGTGGAGATGAATGATTGTATAGTTTAGAAAACCCATCAGTCTCGGTCCAAAATCTCCTTAAGCTGATAAGAAACTCAGCAAAAGTTCAGATACAAATGCATGTGCAAAAATCACAAGCATTGCTTATTACCGATAACAGACAAACAGAGAGCCAAATCATAATGGAACTTCATCACAAAGCTTCCAAGAGAATAAATACTAGGAATCCATTTACAAGGATGGAAGATTCTCGAAGGAAACCAAACCACTGCTCAGTGAAATAAAAGAGGGACAAAATAAATGGAAGACATACCGACATGGATAGGAGATAATATTGTGAAATGGGCGCATTACCACCAAGGCGCAATTATAGATCAAGCCATCCCATTAAGTACCAAGGATTTCTTCACAGAATGGAGAAACTGCTTAAGTCATATGGAGAACCAGAAAAGACCGCATGGGCAAGACGTATCCGCTAAGCCAAAAGAACAAAGTAAGGCATCCGATGCTACCGCTTCGAAACTATACTCAAGGTTACGTAACCACAACAGCATGGTACTGGTCCAAAACAGAGATATAGCCATGGACAGAACAAGCGCCTCAGAAATAATACGCACATCTACGCAATCTGATCTTGTAATCCTGACATAAAACAAGAAATGGGAAAGGAATTCCCTATTTAATAAATGATGCTGGGAAATGCTAGCCATAAGTAGAAAGGTTTGAAATTGGTCCTTTCCTTACTCGGTTATACGAAATTAATCAAGATTGACTAGAGCTTAATGTTAGACCTAAAAACCATAAAAAACCCTAGAAGAAATCTAGTAATAGCATTCAGGAATAGGCATGGGCAGGACTTTATGTCTAAAACACCAAAAGCAATGACAAAAGCAAATTGACCAATGGGATCTCATTAAACTAAAGAGCTTCGCACGCAAAAGAACACCATCAGAGTGGACAGGCACCTACAGAGATGGGAGAAAATTTTGCAATCTACTCACTCTGAAGGGCAATAATCCAGAACCTACAAAGAACTCAACAAATTACAGAAAAAAACAAACAACCCATCAAAGTGGGCAAAGGATATGGAACAACATTTCTCAAAGAAGACATTTACAGCCCAACAGACCATGAAAAATGCTCATCATCATTGCGCATCAAGAGAAAGCAATCAAAAGCCACAATGAGGTCCATCTCACACCGAGTTTTAGAAGGCAATCATTAAAAAGTCAGGAAACAATCAAGATGCTGGAGAGGATGGAGAAATAGAAGACTTTTTCACACTGTTGGTGGACTGTAAACTAAGTTCAACGATTGTGGAAAGTAACAGTGTGGTAGTCCCAGATATAGAACTAGAATACCATTTTGACCAGCCATCCTGTCTGGGATATACCAAGGATTACTAAGTCATGTGCTATAAAGGACACATGCAGTACTTTTTCGTGGCACTATTCACAACAGCAGGACTTGATAAACTTCAAATGATCCAGCAGTTAACAGATGAGTAAGAAAATGTCGGGACATATACACCATGGAATTACTATGCAGCCATAAAAGGGATGAGTTCTGTCCTTTGTAGGGTATGGATGCAAGCTGGAAACCATCATTCTAGCAAACTAGCCAAGAACAGAAAACCAAATACCGCATGTTCTCACTCATAGGTGGGAATTGAGCAATGAGAACACTTGGACACAGGAAGGGAAGCATCACACACCGGGTCCTATTGTGGGGAGTGGGTCGGGGGGAGCATTAGGAGATATACCTAATTAAATGATGAATTAACGGGTGCAGCACACCAACATGGCACATGTATACATATGTAACATACCTGCACGTTGTGCACATGTACCCTAGAACTTAAAATATAATAATAATAAAAAAATACTCAAAAGCTGGTATAGAAGAAGCAGGCCTCAAAATGATAAAAGCCATATATGACAGACCCACAGTTAGTACCATACTCACTGAGGAAAAACGGAAAGCCTTTCCTCTGTGATCTGGAATATGAAAAGGACACCCACTTTCTCCAGTTATTCAACATAGTACTGAAAGTCCTAGCTAGAGCAATCAGACAAGAAATAAAGGGCATCCAAATTGAAAAATGAAAAGTCAAATTATCCATGTTTGAAGATGATATAATCTTATATTTGAGAAAACCTAAAGATTCCATGAAAAAACTATTAGAATTGATAAACAAATTCAGTAAATTTGTAGGATACAAAATCGACAAACAAAAATCAGTAGCATTTCTATGTACCAACAGAAAATAATCTGGAAAAGAACATTTTAAATGTGATAACATTTTCAATAGCCACCAATAAAATTAAATACCTAGAAATTAACCAAAGAAGTGAAAGATCTCAGTAATGGAAACTATAAAGTATAAAACGCTGATGTAAGAAATTGAAGGTTGGGCGCGGTGGCTCACGCCTGTAATCCCAGCACTTTGGGAGGCTGAGGACGGCGGATTACGAGGTCAGGAGATCAAGACCATCCTGGCTAACACGGTGAAACCCCGTCTCTACTAAAAATACAGAAAAATTAGCAGGGCGGGGTGGCGGGCGCCTGTAGTCCCACCTACTGGGAGGCTGAGGCAGGAGAATGGCATGAAACCGGGAGGCGGAGCTTGCAGTGAGCTGAGATCGCGCCACCACACTCCAGCCTGGGCGACAAAGCGAGACTCCATCTCAAAAAATAAAAATAAAAATAAAAATAAAAAAAGACAAGGAGGTCTCAGGCTGCCATGCCACAAAAGCCAATAGTCATTTATAATGGGCCGGGTGCGGTGGCTCACGCCTGTGATATCAGCACTTTGGGAGGCCGAGGCAGGCGGATCACGAGGTCAGGAGATCGAGACCATCCTGGCTAACACGGTGAAACCCCGTCTCTACTAAAAAATACAAAAAACTAGCCGGGTGAGGTGGGAGCGCCTGTACTCCCAGCTACTCGGGAGGCTGAGGCAGGAGAATGGCGTGAACCCGGGAGGTGGAGCTTGCAGTGAGCTGAGATCCGGCCAATGCACTCCAGCCTGGGCTACAAAGCGAGACTCAGTCTCAAAAAAAAAAAAAAAAGAAAAGAAATTGAAGTGGAAACAAAAAAATGAAAAGGTATTCCATGTTTATGGCTTGGAAGAATCCATATTGCTAAAATGCCCATACTACCCAAAACAATCTCCAGATTCAATGCAAACCCTCTCAAAATACCGATGACATGATTCACAGAAATAGAAAAAAAAATCCGACAATATATATGGAACCACAGAAGTCCCAGAATAGGCAAAGCCAAAATAACAAAGTTGGGGGAATTACATTACCTGACTACAAATTATGCTACATAGCTACAGTAACCAAAATAGCATGGTACTGGCATAAAAGCAGATGTTTAGACCAATCGAACAGAATAGAGAACCCAGAAACAAATCCACACAGCTACAGTGAACTCATTTTTGACAAAGGTGCCAAGAACACACAATGGGGAGAAAACAGTCTCTTCAATAAATGGTGCTAGGAAAACTGGATATCCATGGGCAGAAAAATTAAACTAGACTCCTATCTCTCACCATACACAAAATTCAAATAAAAATGAATTAAAGTCTTAAATCTAAAACCTCAAACTATTTAACTACTAAAAAATTTAGAGAAATTAGAGAAATTCATGAAAGGATGAATCCGTTCATGGATTAAAGTATAAACAGGCTATCCTAAGAATGAGACTGGTGGCTTTATAAGAAGAGGAAGAGAGACCTGAGCTGGCATGCTCAGGTCCCTTGCCACGTGATGCCCTGTGCCACCTTGCAGCATTTTCATCAGCCACAAGCACTCACCAGATGTGGCCCCTTTACCTTAGACTTTGCAACTTCCACAACTATAAGGAATAAATTTCTCTAAAATTACACAGTTTAAGGTATTCTGTAATAAGCGATAGAAAATTGATTGTTAAGACAGTATTTATCCAAAAGTAATAGAATCAGAATATCCAGGAGATATATGTGCTTCCGTGTTTATTGCAGCATTATATACAGTAGCCAAGATATGGAAATAACCTAGACATCCATTGTCAGATGACAGCATAAAGAAAATGTGGTATATACTTACAATTAAATACATTTCAGTCATCAAAACAATGGAAATTCTGTCACATGCTACAACATAGATTAACATTGAAGAGATTATGTTAAGTGAAATAAACCAGTCACAGAAAGAACATACTGTATGACTGCACTTATATGAGGAATATGAAGTTGTCGAATTGATGGAAACAGAAAGTTAAATGGTGGTTTCCAGGTGGTTAATGGGTATAGAGTTTCAGTTTTTTTTAAAAAAAATGTTCCAGAGATTTGTTTCACAACAGTGGGAATATACTTAACACTACTAAACTGTACTTTTGAAAATGGCTAGAGTTATACATTTTATGTTACCTGTTTTCACTCCCAGCAAGAAACCTCTTGAAAAATTACATTTGATTTCCCAAATCTAAAAATACAGTTTTCAAAGATTTATCAAAACAGTGTGAGAGATTACCAGAGCAATTCCTGTTGCAAACTTTGGATCGCATGCCATTCCATGATATGTTGCTCCCACATAAGTAGAATGGTTCCTATAACTGAATAATGAAATTTTTCTTGTGGATATGCGTATTTCAAAATAGCAGTAACTTACTCACATTTTATGAGTTGGATTTCTATATAAAGGTATGCTTTCTCCAAAACACAGAAATTACATATAATGTCTTATGCTTTCAGTCATTCAGATTTGGGTATCCCCTATAGTTCATACAAAGTTAAGTCCTAAAAGTTGTTTAACGTTATCTAATACACAGCCCAAAACCTAGCAGTGCCTGATTCTTTCAAAAAATTAATCATCACTGGAAGGATATAATTAATTCCATGATATAAAAGTCAAAAGTGTTTATTGCTGTAATTTGTATGTAGTAAACTAACTCCAAAAGTGTGAAGAAAGGTAGGACTGAAAGCGATAGAGATAAAATATGCATCAGATGTACGAAGAGAAAGAGAGGTAGGGTGTAGAAACTATCCTTACATATTTATATTGTAATATTTCTCTGCAATCCTAGAGACTCTTTATTCCAATACATTGATAAATATATTCCACATATTGCTTAAGGTCTTTAAATTGGGTTTTTGATTTTTGCACATGAAATAATCGAGTTAGTAAAATAAAAATATGTAAAGACTTTTGAAAGATATAGACCAAGTAGGTAAATAGCTATATCTTAGGTCAGTATAGAAATACCAGAAGGAAACCACAGGGAGAATAAAGTACTCTGTTTTAGTTTTTTACTAATATTTCATATTGTAAGAAGCATTTTATGCAATTATTGCATTCAGTGAATTAACTTATATCTATGTAATGTTAAAGTGATAGTTTCAATTATTTACCAGTGAGAAGGTCTTTACAGAGAGGTATCATGTTTTTATCACAAGACTTTCCATTTTTCAACTTATTACATTTCTATAAGTAAACAGTCTACTATGAGCTACTATGATTTAATTAGTGTCTTACATGATTATTAGAATCTTAATATTTTACAGTTTGCCAACAGTCTTGAGATAGCTTTTTAATAATTTTTGCTATATAAAATTTATATATAATTATGATAGTGAAGATAATTTGATCAAACCTTTCTAAATATGAATAAAGTACTCACATTAATAAGTATGTCATATCATGAGACCTTTGAAACAAAAGTTTTTGTTTCCAAAGCAAAAATCGCTGTAGTATTTCATCAGCATGACCACTTGTTGAAATCTTATTTTGATCTGACCAGATCTCCAAGGAAGACAGCATAACTGTTATATTAAGCTGGGAAAACATCTGAGAACAGAAATTACGTGTTTTACAATTTTGGGTAACCATAAATATGACATTACTTCTCAATATCTAATGCTAATATATTTAATTTACTATTTTTTGAAGATAAAATCATTGGTGGATAAAACTAGTGGTTGGGCTACATTTACATTTTTACTTTTTGTTAAAATGTAAATGCTATATATATGTACACAAACACAAACAATTTTACTTCATTAATTGCTATATTACTTACTTAAATATAAAATATAAATACTTACAGTATTGATAAGACCAAAGATTTGGAAAACTTTCTCAACTGCAACTGCCACCGCAGAGCCCATATAATCATACTGAAAGACAAATTTTGTTTCTTAATCATTAGTAAAAACAACTAACTATCACATTTTAAGTGGATTTAAATATAAACGTAAAAGTAACTCAGTGGTCAATTGAAGAGGCCCTAAATAGAATTAAAATATATCACAGCTTACCAGGTTTTAAACATCGGCCTAGTATTTTATAATTTAATCAATGATATTAAAATGAGGTAATTGTGATTATCTTCCTCTTTACAGATAAAGAAATTCAAAGTCAAAGTATTAAGGTATGAAGAGCGAATAACCTACTGGTTAGCCCAGTGTGGTGGCCGGTGCCTATAATCCAAGTAGCTAGCTTTTTAAAAATTTAATTAATTAATTAACTTAAAATTTCATTTTGCATATAGTTGTTTTTTATTGTCTTTGTCATTTATTTACTGTTTAGTCTGTTGATATTTTGTGATTATATATCAATCAATTGTATATCAAAATATCAATTTTGTGACTATATATCAATCAATTACATATCAGTATATCAGTTTTGTGTTTATATATCAATAATCACAAGATATCAACAGACCAAACACTAGATGACAAAGACAATGAAAAAACAACTATATGCAAATTAAAAATTTAAAGGACCCATAAAATATAAGTACATAGAAATATTAAAAATCAAAGGATAAAAACACATCATCTAACATCAGGAAAATACTACAAAAGAAAAAATATGTTATGTGATAATTATATTAACTAACAATACATTGATAAGAATAAAACTTAAGGGCAAAAAATGGACATGCTTATTGCAACGTATTAACAAAATAATTCATCAGGGAGATGGAGACTTTTAAAATTTGCTTATAACTAAAAATGTAGCTGCAAAATATATAAAACAAGATTTAACACAATTAAAAAGAGAAGTTGACTATCATACTGAGATATTTTACATAGGTCTCTTAATAACAAATAGATTAAGAGGACAAATTAATAGGAAAGATATCCAAGACTTTAAAAACCCAAAGGAATGTTGGATAAAATATACATACATAGAAGCTTATATACAACAATGAGAATATGTATTTTTTTCAAATACAAGTGAAAGTTTTATGCACATTGATTCATATTAACCAATATCAGGCCATAGAACACATCTTTGAATAAGAAACAGAGTGTCACTTAAATCACATTATCTGAATACAATGCAACTAAGTTATAGTGGACTTGATAAAAATATTTTAAAAATGCTATTTTTAATGAAATGGATACCTCTGTTGTGGTTATATGAGATAATAGGCTTATTCTAGGTAAATACACACTAAAGAATGTAAGAGTAAAGCTTCATGATTAGCTTTACAAGTTACTTTCAAATTTAAACAAAGAGTGCACAAGTGATAATGGGATACAATATTAATAAAGTGAGAAAAGAGAATAAGGGTCCTTTTTGTATTATTTTATTCTTGTAACTTTTCTGAAAGTTTCAAATTATTTCCAAAAGAAATGTTTAAAAAGTGAAGATGAAATAAAGACAATTTCAGATGAAAAGAAACTGAGGAGAATCCAGCAGGCTAAAGACGAATATCGTACATTAAGACCTACTAGAAGATATGAAAAGCTCTGCAAGCGAAAAATGTGTGTGTGTGTGTGTGTGTGTATATATTTTCATATATATTCATATATATGAAATACTTTTGAAATATATATGAAATACATATGTATGAATATTTATGAATACATATTCATATATATACTTTTTATTTCCTTAATTTCTTTTTAAAATCATTGAATATTTAATTTTTAAAAATCTATTTTTCAGTTTATAACACATGGAGAGGTAAAATATTTAAAAACAGGGCCGGGCGCGGTGGCTCAAGCCTGTAATCCCAGCACTTTGGGAGGCCGAGACGGGCGGATCACGAGGTCAGGAGATCGAGACCATCCTGGCTATCATGGTGAAACCCCGTCTCTACTAAAAATACAAAAAAACTAGCCGGGCGAGGTGGCGGGCGCCTGTAGTCCAGCTACTTGGGAGGCTGAGGCAGGAGAATGGCGTAAACCCGGGAGGCGGAGCTTGCAGTGAGCTGAGATCCGGCCACTGCACTCCAGGCTGGGCGACAGAGCGAGACTCCGTCTCAAAAAAAAAAAAAAAAACAGAATCATAATGACTTACCAGGGTTAAATGAAATTTTACTGCTCTGAGGCTCTTACATTATTAATGAAGTGGTATAACATTAATTCTAGATCATGATAAGTAAAGAATACTAATCAGAATCCCTAGGGAAACCACTAAGGTTGGAGACTGGAAAGAGAAGCATAGCAAAAAAAATAAATAAATAAAAATAAAAAAATAAAGGTTAAATATAACCCATTGACCCAAGTGTAGGAAAGAAGAGACAAATAAGCAAATAATTGATGGGATGTAAGAACACTAATAGTAAAGTATTATTTAACCTACACCCATAGTTATCAATTCTTTTGAGAAAAAAATCAACATTCTATGATTCTTCCCATTTTTAAGATACAGAACTTCTATCAGAGATGGTAAGCGACTATAAAACATAAAGTAATCTTCTGAGGGATAATATTTAATAACAAAGATTTCCAACTGAGTAATAAAATAACTCACTTAGAAATAGATTGAAGAATTTCAATCAACAATTGGAGCGGATCTAAAAGTATCTGCAGCTAGATATGCTACAATAGATTAGAGTGTAGTGGAACCCTTCCACATGAAGTTGTACATTATTGGGAAAATTGATATTGATTTAGAAATCAATATATAAATATTGATCCCCCATGTCACTGTAAAGACAAGTGAAAACATTTCTTTATCTCCTGTTAGACTGAGACACACATTCAAACAGATTAAAATATATCTGCATTGAAAACGCTGAGAGTTTTTTATTCATATTCTCTCTGAATTTCAACAAAAGCAAAGATATAATAAACATACTGATATTGCATACCATGGCTTTTTCCATAATGATTTGTATTTTCAGAGTTCTTTTCGATAGCATGGCACCTGAATTTATCTGTGAAATAGAGGACATGAATTAAATAACACATTTTCAAAATTTTTACATTGCAGTTGTCATGCGCAATACATATACACACACACTCATAAGTGAGATATAGAATATCCATCCATTTAGCTACCCATCTATCTATATGCAGATGGATGATAGATATACAGACACAGATACACGAATATAGATATAAGTTATAACACAAGAGGATGGGTACACACTTAGCAGGTGGGATTCCAACTACAAATTTTACAAGAAAATCAGAAGCATTTTACTTTATGTTATTGATAATTAGAATTGTCAAAAAGTCACTGAAATGAGGAAAAATCCCATACTTCCTTCCCCTTTTAACATTACTATGTACTCTGTAGCACATCACTCCCTCACCAATCTTCAAAGTAAACTAACATCCGTAAACATTTCCCCAAATGTTGCCTTTATTTTCTTACTATTTTTGTACTTTTACTTCTTTATGTTAACTTTATTGAGGTTTACATTCAATAAAATATGTCCATTTTAAGTATAAACTTATATTATTAGTGAGTAACGTATACACCATCACAATTTATAAATTGGTATTTAGAACAATTGGAAGAATTACATCAAAATATTAAGAGCACTATCTTTAAACAATGAGGTTTCACACAATTTCTACAATTTATAGTGTATTATCTTGCCTCTTTTTCACTTTTACATTTTCTATCAAAATAACACTTTTAAATAAAAAAATGCATGTGCCAAAAAACTTATAAAGCAATTTGATCAAATTGGTAATAATTTTCTTAGTAAGATACAAAATCAATATAAAAATAGCTGTATGTCAATAAAAATCCCCGCAATTAAGGAAACAGGTTATGATGCTTTAGAATTATGTGTGTTTATAACGATTACATTTTCTAAATATCTGAATAAACAAATACATGTTTTAAACAAATATCCTACAACTGAACTTTTTAATATAATAAATATCAGTTTAAATTTGTTCTCCAAATGTGTCAAATTTCAGAATTTCACTGTGAATAATCTTATCAACAGTAAGACCAATGAAGAACTCATAAATGAGAATACTCACATCTGATTTGACAAGAATCCTGTAGGACTGATCTATATATTGAGCCACAGGGTAATTTTCTTGAAAGGAGAAATGACCGATAGCATCATTTTTTATTCGATAAACTACATGCTCATATGTAGGTGAAGATTCCAATGGTTCAATACCATAACTAATATTATCTAACTGCAATAATCCTCTGGATATTCAAATACAAAAGAGGAATAAAAATGTTATTGATATATTGAATACACTTTATGCTAGTGAGAGTTTTTTTCTGAATACATTTTATGCTTGCCAGCCTGGGATAGAGAAAAAGAGAATAGAAAAAAAGATCAAAAGAATATGTAAAAAAGAAAAGTATTTAAGAAGATAAAGTTTATATTTCTCTGTATTTATTCTGCCCTTCAGGAAGTTTCTGGAAATTAAAGGCTCACATAAAGTCTCAATGTACATATCTGGAATATGCCATTACCTGAGTCCAGAACACGTGCGTAGTGTCACAGCTGATTTTGGAATGTCTGCAGCATATCCTTGGTAAAAACAATGACCCTAAAAAGGAATACAGAAAGATATATTCATAAATGATTTGGAAACAAAGTCCTAGCTTTCATCTTTACTTCCTATATATTGTCAAGCATTCATATTTAACCATTATCATAATATTATTTATCAGGTATTGAATCTCCATATCAATCTACAATCTCTTTCTCTAAGTTCTTTTCTGCTATGTTATTAGCTCCTAAAGATTTTCATAATTTCTATTCCCAATTGCTGACACTGGTAGGCCAAATTTACTCCTAGTAGCAGTTATCAGAGCCCAAGTGGACCAATCAATCCTACCCAAACACACATTTACAGCAATGTGTCTATTACACTCACACCATCAAGACTAACAAACTCAGGCAGGGAAATCCATACCCTGCTCCATGTCAAGCAACAGCAGCAGTCACCTGCACTTGCAGTGGTGCCAGCAGGATCTGAATCTATAAGCCCCTCACAAAGAGGTAGAAGGCAAACCAGGTCCCAACCTCTCTCCAGCAGTAGAGAGTAATCCAGACTCAATAGCTTCTGGCTGTGCACCCAGCAGGAGAAAACGATCCTCATGAGTTACTTCCCATTTCTCCCTACTATAAGTAGAAAAAGATCATTCAGATAGGAGCTATCTTCAATCAGGGTCACCGACAGAGATAGAATCAAGCACACTGAAATCTAGTAGCGGAGAAAAGGCAGGATGAATGTTCTCCATCCTATGTATCTTTCCTTACCCACCTCAAACAGAAACACTACCTGGCCCACGGAAGTACGATTTATACCTCTAGCTTAACTGCTTAAGAGGCAGCAGAAGGTCCAATGCAGCCAGAACAATGAAACACAACACAATAATATTGTAAAGAAAAACTGTTATTGGAACAGTGGACTCCAGTAAAACAAAGCTCAAACTGAATGACTGTCTTCTAAAATAGAATATTAAAAGAAGGTCAAGAGCCTTGACTAAATGTCAAGGATACAATCAAAATAATTCATTATAACAAGGACCAGGAATATCCCAACAAGAATGAGAAAAGAAAAACAACTGATGACATCGTTGAGATGAGTCATAGGATATTAAAAAATCTTTGAAAGAAGTAATAAAAATTGCACTAATGAATAATGACAAATTCTCTTGAAATAAGTGAAATAACAGAAAATCTTAGGAAATAAATAGAAGCCAAAAAGGGAACAAATGAAAATATTAGAACTGAAATATATAATAAACAAACAAGTGAATCACTGCATAAGCTCTATAGTCTGGAGTACAGATGACAGTGGATAGGATCACCAGGGTTAAGGAGAATCCAATTGCATATACCTAACCTACAAAATAGAGGACAAGTGGCTGAGAAATGTATGATGTCTCAACAACTTGTAAAGCAATAGCAGAAGATCTATAATTTATACTTTAAAAATAAAAATATGGGGTTTAAATAATATTTAAAATATTATTACTGAAATTTTGGTCAGCCAGATTGTGAAATAGGAATCCCAGGACACTTCTTCTCCCCACAAGCATACCAATTCAGCAACATTATATGGGAAAATTACATTTGTGAGTAATCAGAAACTAATATAGAGACAGACACGCTGGGAGGATGCAAAACTAGACTCCCTAAAGCTGGTAGAGAGACTTGGGTCACTCTCTTCCCAGGAAACCCAAAGATATCCGCACCTAGATCTATTTTAATCAAACATTAAAAGATCAAAAACAAAGAAAATTTTGTAAACTACAAAAGAATAGCAACTTGTCGCATACAAAGGAAACTCCATAGGACTGTGAACAGACTGTTTTTTTTTTTTTTTTCAGGAGAAACCATGCTGGCCAGAGGAGAGTGGGATGAGACATTTTTTAAAAGTGCGGAAAGAAAAATTAAGCCAAAAAGAATGCTATACAAAGCATTACAGATTTCTTACAAAATCTATAAGAAACTCACTTGAGACTTAACTACACATATAGGATGAAGGTAAAGAGATGGAAAAATGAATTCCATGCAAATGGAAGCAAAAGGGGGCAGAGATGTGTATGCTAATGTCAAAGAAAATAGATTTTAACACATAAACCATCATAAGAGAAAAAAATGACATTTTTTCAGGGTCAATATCTGAAGAAGATAGATTACTTATAAATATGTACACACTCAATATTAGAACATATAAATAAATAAATCTGAAGGAAGAAAGAGACATCAATACTATAATAATAAGAGACTTTAATACCTTATTTTAAATAATGAATAGAACATCCAAAGAGAAGATTAATAAGAAAACAGAAGATTTGAATATTACTATAAATCAAATAGTTCTAAAAAACATGTAAAGAATTTCATTGAACAGCAGAAGAATACACTTTCTTCTGAAGTACACTTGGATCTTTTCCAGACAGATCACATATTAGGCTAAAAAACAAATCTAAAAATTTTAAAAAGATTGAAATCATAACAAGTGTCTTTTCTGAACCCAATAGAAAGAAGCTAAAAATAAATAGTATAAGGCAAACGAAAATATTAATATATATGTTGAAATTGACACACTATTGAATAACTATGGACTGAAAGAATAACATCAAAACAGAAATTAGAAAATACCTTGAAATAAGTGAAAACATAAAAATAAAAGTAAACAAAAAAATTAAAACAAATGGATGCAGAAAAAGCAATACTATGAGAAAAGTTCATAGCAATATATGCCTACATTAAAAAAAGGCATATCTCAAATATGTTTATCTGAAGGATCTAGAAAAACACGATAAAACTAAGCCCCAAATTAGCAGAGAAAATTAAAAAAACAAAGATTAGAACAGAAATAAAATAAAAATAGAAAACCAATATAGAAACAAAGAAGTTCGTGTTTCGAAAAGAAACAAAACTGACAATTAAACTTAGCTATGCTAAGAAAATAGAAAGGATGCGAAGAAATAAAATCAGAAATAAAACAGAGACTTTATAACTAATCCCACAGAAACAGAAAAAGATCATGTAAGAGACTAGTATGAACAATTTTCTGTTAGCAAACTGGATAATCCAGAAGAAATTGATAAATTTCTAGAAACATAGAAACTGCCAAGATTGAATCATAACGTACAAAATTTAAAAGGACTCACAACTAGAATGAAGATTAGATCAGTAATCAAAACCTACAGACAAACAAAAGAGCAGAATCAGAGAACTTTACTGTTGAACTCTACCAAACATTTAAAGAATAATTAATGCCACAACAACCATTCTTAAACTCTTGCAAAAAACTGAAAAAGGAAACACTTCCAAATTTACCCTACGAGGCCAGACATCAAAGCCACATAAATCATTACAGGAAAAGAAAACTACAAGCCAATATCCCTGATGCACATAGATGGAAAAAGTCTCAAAAACATCTGCATGCAACAGAATATTAAAAGTGTCCTACACTATGACCAGGTGGGATTTATCTCTGGAATGTAATAGTGGTTCAACATAAGACAATCAATTAATTTGATACACTATATTATATAATAAATAATACAATTTACAGGATGAAATTAATAGATGCAGAAAAAGCAAATCTCAGCTTCCTTTATAGGACCTTATACATACATTATTATGACCCTAATACAAAAATCAAACAAAGTCAGTACAAAACAAAACTTGCAGATCAATATCTCTCATGAATACTGATGAGAGAAACCTCAAGATAATAAGTCATGTGTAAAAAGAATTATAATTAATCATGTCAGGTCTTGGTTGTAATTTTTTAGGTATGCAAAACTATTTCAAGATTTAAAAATAAATCAATTCGATCCAGCATGCCAAAAGACCAGAAAAGAAAAGAAAAACTTGTAGTCCTATCAACTGATGTAGAAAAAGCATTTTCTGTAACTAAATAGCCATTAATGAACAAAAAGAACAAAATAAACTTTTAGCAGGCTAGAAATACAGGAGAATTTTCTCAACTTCATACAGAGACTGTAAGAAAACCTAAAGCTAAAATAATTTTTTCACAATGAAAGACTGAATATGTTTTCCATGAAATTGAGAATAATCGAAGAATGCCCTCACTATGGTTATTCAGCATGGTTCTGGACATTTTAGCAAATTACAGTGAGGCAAGGCAAAGAAATGAAAAGCAGACTGACATATTGGTTGAAAATGAAGAAAGAAAATTGTCTATATTTGTTAAAGACGTGTCTATGTAGGAAATCTCAAGGCATCTATTAAAAAGCCCTTTTAGAACTAATTTGTGAATTTAGCAAGATTCTAGAATAGTAGATGAAACCCAGAAAATGAATTGCATCACTAGAACAGTATACACGTGGAAACTAAAATTAAAACACAAGATCATTTACAATTGCTGCAATAAAATGAAATACTTAGGTATAAACCTAAAAAATGTATAGGATCTGAAAGCTGAAATAACAAAAACACTAGTGAAAGACATACGTAAATGACCAAATAAATTGAGAGACTTACTGTGTTTTTGAATTGGAAAACTTAACATAGTAAAGATGTCAGTTCTCCCCAAATTGATCTACGGATTTAACACAATTTCTATCATAGTCCTAGCAATTTTTTTTTTTTTTTTTTTGCACATGGAGTAGCTTTATCTAAATCTTACATGAAAGCAAAATATCGAGAATAGAAGAGTTTAAAAAGTATAAGAAAGAATAATAAAGTGGGAAAAACCACTCTAGTTAACAACCCAGACATATATCCACACTAGATCCACGGATTTTTTTGACAAAGTAGTTAAAAGAGCAATTCAAAGCAGAAATATAGCCTTTTAAAAATATAGTGTTGTAACTATTATACATCTAGTCAAGACTGAACTTTGATCCAAATTCCACACCTTATACAACATTACCTCAACATAAAGAATTAAATGTAAAGTATAAACTTAAAAAAGCCCCAGAAAGTCTTCAGAAACTACTGTTACGTAGAATCCGTAGGTATGACATGAAAACAGCAAATCATAACAAGAAATTGTTGATAAATTAGCCCTCATCAAAAATAAAACTCTTTGATCAGTGGATACCATTTGAAAAGTAAGACAAATCACAGACAGGGATAAAATATTTGCAAAGCACATGTTTGACAAAGGACATATTCAAAATATAGAAAACTTAAAAATCAACAGTAATCAGCAACCTTAAACTCCAAACTCTCAGATTTTTGCTTGGTTCCATGTCTGGATGCTATGGTTCAGACTATCTACAGTAGGGGGCAAACTTAAACATGAAATTCACCTCCTGTGCTTACATTCTCTCAGGTACAAAATGCCGGGCGCGGTGGCTCAAGCCTGTAATCCCAGCACTTTGGGAGGCCGAGACGGGCGGATCACAAGGTCAGGAGATCGAGACCATCCTGGCTAACCCAGTGAAACCCCGTCTCTACTAAAAAATACAAAAAACTAGCCGGGCGAGGTGGCGGGCGCCTGTAGTTCCAGCTACTCGGGAGGCTGAGGCAGGAGAATGGCGTAAACCTGGGAGGCGGAGCTTACAGTGAGCTGAGATCCGGCCACTGCACTCCAGCCTGGGTGACAGAGCAAGACTCCATCTCAAAAAAAAAAAAAAAAAAAAATTCCTAATTGGCCTATTGTCACATGGCTCAAAACAGGTGTCTCATGTATTTTTTTTTTTTTTTTTCTGACTTCGAATTGTAATTTGGTAGGGAGGGAAAATCCTTTACCAGTTACCATATTGTAGATTTCGTCAACTCTCAGTTCCAATTCAGCAATAGAGTGTGACCAGTCATTGCCTTTCATTTCCTTCTAGTCGCGTGAATAAATGTGTTACAGAGTAATAAATACCTTACAGGGTGTAATAAATATCTTACAGGGTAAAATGAGCTTTCTCACATAATTTCAAAACCTTCTTGACTCTTTAATGTCTTTCAGCCTGTAATCCCAGCACTTTAGGAGGCCAAGGTAGGCAGATTACTTGAACTCAGGAGCTTGAGACCAGCCTGGGCAACATAGTGAAATCCCGACTCTACTAAAAATACAAAAATTATCTGGGTGATGGTGTCGCGTACCTATAGTCCCAGGTACTCGGGAGGCTAAGGTAGGGGGATCACCTGAGCCTGGGAGGCACAGGATGCAGTGAGCCAAGATTGCACTGGGGTGACAGAGTGAGCCCTCGTCTCAAAAAACAAAAAAACAAAAAGAAAAAAGTTTTTCTGATACAACTCGAATTCCGCGGTTTCACATTTGGACCTATTAAGGTTCGGTACACTGTCTACTTTATCGCATTCTCACTCTCATCAGTTCCCTGGGGTCTTTCTGTAAGGTAATGTCTACCATTTTCTCCACTGCCCAGGCCCTCTCATATATCGATTGAAACTTCTCAGTGTGTCTTCGCTTCTTCAGACACTTTTTTCCCCCCCTAAAACTCCTACTAATACTTCCAGACATACTTTAAATGTCCTTTTTGGAGAAATGATTCCTAAGTTCCAGATTTTTAAAAATGTAGTTCTATTCAATATGCTTTCATAATAATTGCCACATTATATTTAATTTTGTAATCTGTTTTCTCAATAATTATGTGGGCCATTAAGCATTCATTTCCTCCCCAACAATGGCACCTTAACCACATACAAAAATGCAAATTTACTTGGCAGAAACCAAAACTTACCTTTGAAAATGAAGAATCTACATACAATGTTCCTGATTCATTGTATAAATACACCAGGAAATGTGGGTGTAAAAATGACCTAATTCAATAAAAATGATGACACTTCATTGTAATTATATCATTAATTAAAAAATAACTTCCAGAATAATAAAATTAAACAAAATTTACTTTCAATACAAACATCTAAAAATGAAATGGACTTATCTCTATATTAACTTGCTGCTTTTTGATATCATATTGTGAATATAAGAAAGAATAATAACCAGTATAATCAGAAAAATGTGTGGATGCTTTAATGAATTTAAAATAATCAGCTAGGGCCAGGTGTAGGGGCTCACACCTGTTATACTAGCACTTTGGAAGGCCAAACCTGGAGGATTGCTTGAGCTAAGGAGTTCAAGACCAGCTGGGGCAACATATGGAGACCACTTATCTCTACTAAAAATAAAAATAAAAATGAGTTGGTGGGTCATGGTGGTGTGTGCCTGTAATCTTAGCTACTTGGGAGGTCAAGGCGAGAGGATGGCTTGAGCTAAAGAAATCTAGGCTGCAGTGAGTTACGATTGCACCACTGCACTCCAGCGTGGGCAACTGAGTGAGACCCTGTCTCAAAAATAAAATAAAATGAAATAAAATAAAATAGGCCAGGTGTGGTGGCTCATGCCTGTAATCCCAGCACTTTAGGAGGCCGAGGCAGGCAGATCACGAGGTCTGGAAATCGAGAACATCCTGGTGAAATCCCGACTCTATTAAAAATACAAAAATTATCTGGGTGTGGTGGCGTGTGCCTGTAATCCCAGTTACTTGGGAGACTGAGGCAGGAGAATCGCTTAAACCCAGGAGGCAGAGGTTGCAGCCAAGATCATGCCATTGTGCTCCAGCCTGGTGACAGAACGAGACTCTGTCTCAAAATAAATAAATAAAAATAAATAAATAAATAAATAAATAAATAAAATAACTGACAAACACAGATGTATGTACAGTAATAGGTAGGTCTGCCAGATTTCAAAAGAGATTTTCTTTCAGATTCAACTGTAATTTTATGGCTCATACACCTTAGTTAGTATTTGTTAACAAGTAACAATAGATTTTATATATTTACATTAGTTTTCATGATGTTACTTTAGATGATGTTAGTTTACATGATGTTTTCATGATGTTGGTAAAAACAACCCCAAAATTCTTAGTGTCATAAAACAGCAATGAGTGTCCTTCACAAGTTTACTAAAAATTCAGCTCCATCCTACCTTCCTTCTGGAACCTAGGAAAAGGCAGAGTGCCTCCCTGAAACAGTCTCAAAATGACAACCTGAAATTGATGACTAAAATGAATCACAGAGAAGATATAAAATGTTAAATGAATCTAATATTCAGTCTCTTATTTAAGCTCAATTTAGGGTAGTGATTGTAAAAATTTGAGACACTAAAAATAATGAATAAAAAAGTGGTAACTTACTGTCTTTCAAGCAGGAAAGTATATGGTTTCCCCTCAATTTTGATGGAATAAGTGGCCTGTAGCAAAATATTCAGAGAGAAAGTAATTGGTAGAGATTCTAACTTCTCAAAAGTTAAACGTCACAGTTCCTTGAAACATATATTCATTCATACAAATGTAGATTATATCCTGCATGTATCAAAATTGGAACGTATAACAGAACTAATTGTAATTTAAATAAACACAAGGAGTCTAAATTTCAAAACTCAGATTAATCATTAGCATATATTATTATGAGATTTGAATTTAAAATGGGGATAATGTTTAGAAATGCTGAGAAACAGTTGAAGAAACTTGAATTTTGTTATCTTTGTTCCATTTTGCAGCTCTCAGCACAAATAAATTGAAAATGAAATAATGCAGCACAGGTTCCCAGTTAAGAATAAAAGACTTACTGCTCAGCTGCCAGAGGTACTACCCACAGGCAGTCCTCATCTCCCTACCCCCTTTGGCTCTTGCCTTAGCTCAAGAGAGTCATCTTACACAAAGTCACGCTTTCTGGGACAGCCCACATCTCATCAGAAGCTCCTCCATTTAATGGAGGTTTCTGGTTCAGATAGATTTAGTATGGTGTTCCAAACAGATTAAATACGGTGATATCTTCATGATAAATTGATATTTGTATCAATAATAAAAATTCCTTTCGTTTCCACAACCTTTTAAGGCAATTTTATTTTTTCAACTTTATTGAGCTATGACTGAAAAACAAGTTTTGTATTTATTTAAAGTGTGTAAAAGATGTATATGATGTTTTAATATACATATACATTGTGAAATGATTAAAACAATCGAATTACTATATCCATCACCTCACATAGTTACCATTTTATCATATGTTGTGAGAACATTTGAGGTCTATTCTTAGCAAATTTTAAGTAAACTAAACATTATTATTAACTATAGGGACCATGATGTGCATTAGATCTTCTGAATTTATTAATCTTATAACTGAAAGTTATAACATTATATAAGATTATATAAGAAATTAATAAATTTTTAACATATTTGACCAATGTCTTCTCTTTTCACCCTTGCCTCCAACCCCTGGTGCTACCGTCTAATTTCTGTTACTATGTGTTTGACTTTATTTTTAAGATACTATGTATAAGTGAGATAATGCAGCATTTGTCTTTGTGTGTCTGGCTTATTTCACTTAGCATAATGTCCTCCAAGTACAACCAGGTCATTACAAATGATGGATGGCAGGATTTCCTTCTTTTTAAAAATTGAATACTTTCCATTGTTTGTCTATTTATTGATCAATTGATCGATCATCTATCAATCTACATTTTCTTTACCCATATACCCAGAGATGAATGCCATACTATTTTGATTATGATAGATACATAATATAATTTACTTTTAGCATATTGTATATATTTAAAGTATACAACATAAGTTTTTGATAGTCTTATCTTGATTCAGAAATAGATAAGTGATTCTGGCAGTCAAGCAAATTAAAATATATATCATTCCAATATAGTTACTTTCTTTTATATTTTCCTTGTTGTTGTTTTGGTGGTAAGAGTACCTAAAATCTACTTTATTGACAAATTACTGGTATAAAACATCTTATTGTTAACTACAGTTCTTTTGTACATTAGATTTCTTAGATGTTTCATCCTATGTAACTACGACTCTGTACCTTTTTACCTACATTTTCACATTTGCCCCTGCACCCTCCTCCTTACACAGAGTCCCTGGTAACCATTGTTTGCTCCACAATTCTATGTACGAAAATTTTTGAAATTCCACATATAGGTAAGATCAGGCAGAATTTTTCATTCTGTGTCTAGCTTATGCCACATAGCATAATGTCCTTTCCCTTATTTCATGTCATCACAATGGTAGAATCTACTTCTTTTTAAAGACAGAATAATATTCTATTTCATATATAAATACATACATACCACAATTTCTCTATCCATTCATCTGTATATGGACATTTTGGTTACTTTCATATCTTGACTGTTGGGAATAATGCTGCAATGAACATGAGAGTGCAAATATCTTTATGAGGTAGTGATTTCATTGTAATATAATTGGAAATGAAGAAATGTGATGGTGCATCAGGGTTTTTGCTCAGAATTGTTTTAACTATTTTGAGTCTTTTGTGGTTCCATGAGAATTTTAGATTTGTTTTTTTTCTGTTTTCGTGAAAAATGCCATCAGAATGTTGATGGGCATTGCATCATTGCATTGAATCTGGAGGCTGCTTTGGGTAATATGCACATTTTAACAATATTAATCCTTCTAATCCATGAGTAAGGGATATCTTTCCATTTGTTTCTGTCTTCTTCAATTTTTCTTATCAATTTATAGCTTGTAGTTTTCAATGTACAGATCTCTCACCACCATAGGTAAATATATTGCTAAATATTTTATTCTTTTTGATGCTACTATAAGTAATTTTTAAAAAAAATTTATTCCTCAGCTAGTTTACTATCAGTGTGTGGAAACACAGCTGATCGGTTTTATGTTGGTTTTTGCATACTGCAACTTGACTGAATTCATGTCTTTGTTCTAACCTTTTCTTCATATAGAATGTTTAGGACTTTCTATGTATAAGATCATGTCTTCTGATAATAGACAATTTGACTTGGAGGCATTTTATTTTCTCTTCTTGAATAATCCTTCTGGTGCAACTTCCACCTATGGTGAAGTCCAAAGATAATGTTAGTCTTATCTTGCAAAGAGGCAAGTTTCTCTCATCTAATTGTTGAGGAAGGGCTATTCAAGAAAAGAAGGTCAGAAGGACTTCCTGACCGAGAGGCTTTATGTCAGGGCCTGCATGGGCACTTCCTCTCTCTTGGCAAAGACTGTGGTCTGTCACAGGACACTTGAGGTGACTTAGGTCTTCCCTGCTTAAGACCAGTGGCCGCCATCTAAGTCCTATCTGTGTTTGGAGAAGGCAATACTCCATTTGGCTGTAGTTGGCAGCTCAAGCTTGGCTTGGGATTTTCCAAGTGTCCCCATCCTTTGGCCTCTTCATTGGAAGCACCACATCTCCTGTCACTTGCACACTCTGTCACTGATGGCATACAACAATTTCGTTTTCCTGTGCTTGTTTCCTGAGAGCAAGGCAGCGGCAGGTCTCAGATTTCTTTGAATAAATGTGAGGTGTTATGTAAGAAATGCAGCCACATATACACCGATTTTATTTTATTTATTTACTTTTTTGAGACAAACTCTCACTCTTTTGCCCAGGCTGGAGTGCAAGGGTGCTACCTCGCCTCACTGCAACCTCCGCCTCTGGGGTTCAAGCGATTTTCCTGCCTCAGCCTCCCTAGTAGCTGACACTACAGTGCTTGCCACCACGCCCAGCTAATTTTTTTTTTTTTTTAATAGAGATGGGGTTTCATCATGTTGGCCAGGCTGGTCTCAAACTCCTGACCTCAAGTTATTTGCCCGCTTTGGTCTCCCAAATTGCTGGGATTACAGGCATGGCCACTGTGCCCAACCTGATCTCTTTATCATTTCCAGGCTGTTCTCCCCTCACCTTCCCTTTCTTCCTTCAGAATATGCTCACAAAGGCCCCCTAAGCAGTGGGTACTGGAGATAGCAGAGAGAACAAGGCTCAGCCCTGCTGGGTGCAGTGTGGGTGGCAGACAAGGATATTGAAGATTACAATAACCCAGTCTCCTGGTGGAAATGCACAGGGGACTATGGGAATGCACAAACAGGTGGCCTAGCCCAGCCGTGAGAGGGACTTGCAAGGGGGGCTTCCTGGGTCCCTGGGTGAGGATGTGAATTCTGGCTTCCACTGGGCCTACACTGAGTGCCCCTGGCCAGCGGGGGTCAAAAGACCTACAGGAAGAAGCTGAGACACAAAATACAATTTTAAAGACTTAACTTGAATTGAAGTGAGGACTGCTGTCGGGGATGCACTTCCACGTGGTCTTTGGGAGTGGTCCACTTGGCCTTTGTTACAAGCAGGTAAATTTTTTTTTTTTTTTTTAAGATGGAGTTCAATGTTTAACAGTAGTGGTGAGACTGGGCACCAATGTAGTTTTCATGATATTAGAGGAAAAGATTTCAGCTTTTCCATATTGAGTATGATGTCAGATGTAGGCCTGTCATTTATGGCCTTTATTATTTTGTAGTAAATTCTTTCTATACGCAATTAGTTGCGAATTTTTATCATAAAAGAATGCTGGATTTTGTCCAAAGCCTTTACTTTATCTATTGAGATGATGATATGTTTGTTATCCTTTATTCTCTTAATGTGGCATACACATGTACTCATTTGCATATGTTTAACAATCCTTGAATCCCAAGAATAAATCCCAGTTGATCATGATATACAGTCCTTTTATTGTGCTGTTGAATTTGGTAATATTTTATTGAGGATACTTTCATCTTTGTCCAGGGATATTGGCTCATGTTTTTATCTTGGAGTATCTCAGTCCAACTTTGGTATTAGAGTAATATTGTAATACTGGCTTCATGAAATAAGTTTGGAAGTGCTCCTTCCTCTTCCACTTTTTGGAAAACTCTGAGAATAACTGTTATTTACTCTTTTTTTAAAAAAAAAAATGTTTGGTAGAAATCACCAGTTAAGTCATCTGGTCTTGGACTTTTCTTTATAGGAGATTTTTGATTATTGATTCAGTCTTACTTGTTATAGATCTCCTCAGATTTTCTATTTTTCATTATTCAGTCTTCATAGATTGTTTCTAGGATGCTGTCCATTTCTTCCAGGTTATGCAGTTGGTCGGCATAAAATTGTTCATAGCATGATGCTTTTACTTGGTGATGTCAATTGTAATGTCTCCTCCTTTATTTCTGGTATTGCATATTTGAGTCCTCTGCTTTTCCTAATATTGTTAAAGGTTTATTAATTTTATTTATATTTTAAAAAATATAACTCTTAGTTTTGTTCCTCTATCTATGGTTATTCTACTCTCCTCTTTTTCACCCTTTGTTTTCTTCTTTGACCAATTGGTTGTTTAAGAAGGTGTTGTTTAATTTCCACTTATTTAGGAGTTTTCTATTTTTCCCTGTTTCTATTTGATGGAACGTTCTATAGAGGTCTTTTAGGTCCATTTGGTCTAAAGTGCAGTTTAAGTCTAAATGTTTCTCATTAATTTTCTGCTGTATAAATCTATCCATGGTTGAAATTGGGGTATTGAAGTCCTTTGTCAATATTATTTCTCATTTCAGTTCTGTTTAAATTTGCTTTATACATTTCGAGGGCTCTGTGTTGGGTGCATATACACTTTAAATTGTTGTATCTTCTTGATTAACTGGCCCCTTTATGATTACAGTATGACTTTTTTGCCTTTTGCTACAGTTTTTGACTTAAAGTCTATTTTTGTCTCATAAAAGCATAGAGACTCCTTTCCTCTTTGGATTTTGATTTCCATGCAATATCTTTTCCTTTGCCTTCACTTTCAGCCCCTGCATGTTCTTAAAGCTGAAATATGTCTCTCTCAGGCAGCATATCTTTGGATACTTTTAACCCATTCAGCCACTCTATGTCTTTTGATTGGAGAGTTTATAGTCTGTTTAAATTTAGAGTAATTATTGACATGAAGACTTACTATTGCCATTTTGATAATTGTTTTCTGGCTGCTTTATATGTTGTTTTGTGCATTTTTCTTCTCTTCCTGTGTTCCTCTGTGATTTGATGTTATCCTGCAGTGGTATCTATTGATTATTTTCTCTTTAATTTTTGTGTATTTACTACAGATTTTTGTTTCATGGTTTACCACGAGGCTTACATAAACATATAGTTATATCAAGTTATTTTAAGATACTAGAAATTTAACTTCAATCACATACAAAAACTATGCATTATTACTTCTACACATATGCATAATTTTATGTTACCTATGTCAAATTTTCCATCTTTTTATGTTTTGTATCCATTAACTATGGTAGTGATAGTTATTTTAACACTTTTGACTTTTAACCTTTACGTTAGAGTTATAAGCGATTCATACACCTCTATTACAGTATTATAGTATTCTGAAATTGACTTATATTTACCTTTGCCTGTGGGTATTACACTTTCATATGTGCTCCTGTTATAATTTAGCCTCCTTTCGTTTTAGCTTAAATAACTCCTTTTAGCATTTATTAGGCAAGCCTGGTGGTAATAAACTTCCTCAGCCTTTGTTTGTACAGGATATTTTTTATCCTTCATTTCTGAATGACAGGGTTGCCAGGTAAAATATTGGCTATTTATATATTTTTAATTATATTCCTATGCAATTTTCAAGTGTATATCAAATTTATGTATGTAATTTATTTACTCTTGCCCATTATGCATTGTGTAATATCCATTATCACTTATTTCTTCTTCACCCTGTGAAATATATAGAAGTACGTCTACAAATTGCTAAATGCATTTTTGAGTTTCTTGTTAAGTTTTATCCTAATTGATTGTTACCATATAATTAGTTTTATGCTACCAGTATTTGATTTTTAATTTTCTTTCTTTACTATCATCAATTTTGTTGACCGTCCTATATATTTTTCAGAAGAATGTACATTACTTACAGTGGCATAGAGCTAAATTACAGCTGGATTGGAAAAGCTCTATCTTTAGATCTGGGGATCCCTACACATCTGGATATTTCAGATTTTTGTCCAAAACAAAGGCAGTGATATTTATAATGCGCTTTCAGGGCTCAAAACGTCCCTGGCCAAGGGAGCCTCCTCAGTGTTTGCCTAATTATTTTGACAGGCCCTGCTTGACTATTTAAAGAGTCACTGAAAGATTTCAGCTGAGATCTCTGAAAGCCAACATTTCTCCTGTAGTTCTTTTGTTGGTAGACTCAGTATGCTTCAGGAACACAGAGATTGTGTTTCTAAACAGGGAGCTCACAGTAAATGTTTCTTGGATTCATGTGTGATAAACTGTAGAGTCTAGTGAGTCCTAAAACATATCAGAACTGGAGAAAACAATACATTCACTTCACTGGGTTCATGTTCTATATATGTCCATTGGATAAAAATATTTTTGTTGTTCAAATTTTCTTTACCTTTATGATTTTTTTTATGATTTGTCAACCAACATTTGAGGAAAACATTTTAAGATCTCACTATGGAAATGGATTTCACAATGTCTTCCTCTAGAGCTATGAATTTTCACTCTATAGGTGCTGAATGCATTTTATTAAATTTATACAACTTCAGAATTGTTAAATGTTCCTAGTGAGCTGAATATTTCATCACTAAAACATAATGTTTATCTCTCACAGTGGTGTGTACATGTGTGTGTTTGTGTGAGTTAGTGGAGGTGAGAAAATTGAACAAAGCCTGGTGACAGTTCAAAAAGATATGTATCATTATTGTTTGTTAATAACAGTCAAATGTAAAGTAACTTTTCTGGAAGATATTCTTCAATGTTTACAAAAAAAATTTAATGGCTTACCCATTGATCTACATAAACAACTATCAAAGAAATTTTATGAAACTATGAGTTGAAAATTTGATAAGATATATGTTACATCCATATGACATATCATGAAGTCATAAAAATGACAGAGCCATATTATCATAAAAGTAAATCCAATATTTATAAATAAATGAAAAGTCAATTACAGTCATATAGAATCATTAAAAATATATGTGTGCATGTGCATGTGTTTCTAAATATTCATTTAGTACAAATTTATTATTTTTAGAGACTGGTGTGGACATTCATTTTATTCAGCATTCTCTGTATTACCTCAATTTAATTTTACAACATACCTACTTTCCTACTCTAATCAGATGAAAGATGACATTACTTTCATTTTTACAAAGGATTTATATACACATGTATAGGCATGAAGATAGTCTTTATATATTATCATGTTAAAAACATATTGCTTGGTAAATATTAGTATGACCTCAACTATATAATAACACAGATTTAAATGTACATATTTTCTAAAAGAACCCAGTAGACTGAATATGGTTCCTTTGTGTCATAGGAATCTGGGGATTCTTTTTCTGAATCTCTATTTTAAAACAGTTATTTATTTTTTTTTTTTTGAGGCAGAGTCTCGCTCTGTCGCCCAGGCTGGAGTGCAGTGGCGCGATCTCGGCTCACTGCAAGCTCCGCCTCCCGGGTTCCCGCCATTCTCCTGCCTCAGCCTCCCTTGTAGCTGGGACTACAGGCGCCGCCACCATGCCCGGCTAGTTTTTTGTATTTTTAGTACAGCCGGGGTTTCACTGTGTTAGCCAGGATGGTCTCGATCTCCTGACCTCGTGATCCGCCCGTCTCGGCCTCCCAAAGTGCTGGGATTACAGGCTTGAGCCACCGCGCCCGGCCTAAAACAGTTATCTAACATTCATATATTACTTGAGAAATGAAAAAATATCAAACTCTTGCTGTCAGACCAAAAGACTCCTTAGCACGGTAAATTAGAACACAAACAAAATTTCACAAAGGGATATGTATGAATTGATTGGGGCCATGTAGTCCAGAAAAAACAAAACACCATAATTTTAAAAGGTGATCTCTTAATTACATGCGTTTCTGAAACATCGCCATCATTGGTGTTTGTCTGGATCTTCCGTGGTACTGTAATTTGCAGAACTGGTGTTTCAGAATCTGCATGAGGAAAAGCATATGTGAACATTCCCAGTGTATTCATGTCACAGCGTCCTTTCTCATCACTCTTTATACTTCCATCGCATACGCGCACGCGCGCGCGCGCGCACACACACACACACACACACACACACACTGTCCAGTTCCAGGAAACGGCTCCTCCAGGTATGGGAGGTTTACCCTAGCTCTGCCCAAGGACACTTCAGGGCTTGGTGACCTCAGCCCTGCGTGGTGGAAGTGTGGGCTACAGGTCCCATCTGGCATCCCCGCTTCCCGCTGCAGCCTGTGGTCCACACTTGTGAGCGGTTCTGAGGCCCCCTCCCCAGCCTGGCCTGCGCTTCTCTGCCCTGCGAAAGGCGAAAGGGGAAAGGCGGCGTCCTCTCCTGCAGGGCTCTTTACTTACGCGGGCCCACGGAGGTCAGCCGGCCGAGGCCTGAGAGGATCAGCAAGAGAGACAGCATTGCCTAGCCGGCGGCCCAGCCACAGGGACGGCCGTTGCCCTTGGAACGGCTGCAGCTCGAGGCCAGGGTGGTGGAGGCCGAGCGGAGCGGAAGGGCCGTGGGGTCTGCGAGTGCTGTGGCGACCCAGCTACGTGGATCCGCCCACAATGGGCTGCATCGGAGGAGGCACGTGGGAGCCGGCATTTCTGGGCACGTGGGCTCTTTTTTTTTTTCTAAAAAGTTGACATTTACAATGCATTCAGGGGTAATATAGGGTTATAAAGCACATTTGTACTCTAGACCTTTTGCTGATGAAGTCTTGGCAAGATGACTGTTCCACATCATAGCCTTCTGGGAAGACGGATGAATTATTGTAGTGAAGGAAAACAGAAAAAAAAAAAAAAAAAAGAGGAATCACAGTATGTTTAGCAGCAGCCAATTGCCAATTTTAGTAATATCTAGTTCTAGTTTTCTTCTCTTAGGACTCAGGTGAAAACACAAACACATACTGAAAACTAAAAAATCAGTTTCTTAGAAAACTGTCTAAGGAGTTTAAATAAAATGCGAAATATGAATATATGGATGTATTTTATTATTTTAGTACGATTTATAAGTATCAGGCAAAAAAAAAATCACACCTATAAAATTACTTCATAAAAACAATCAAAATCCATTTATTTATTGACTTTTCCACACTTTTGTTTCTTAGAAAAGCTTTATGGCTTAGGGAGACTAAATGAAAAGCCAGACATATTTTCCCCCATCAATATGGAGTTCACACAAGGAATGATAATATAGTTAAGTGGAAATAATTTTATTTTATCTCTTACTACATAGGTAGGTGGTTTGCCTAATTTCAGGGGTTTTTTTTGTTTTTTTGTTTTTTTACAATTTATTATTTATTGTAACATTTGTATTGTAGTAAAATACACAATATAAAAATTACTATCTTAATGCTTTTTAAGCCTAGTTTTCAGTGGAATTAAATACATCCATATTGCTGGGCAGCCATCACTATCATTCATATCCAAAACTTTGGATTTCGCCAATTTTTACATCAACTGACTTGTGTTTGTGATGGAATTCCATCCGGTGTTTAATGAATATGTGCTCTTGTGGAACAGGAATTAAAAGAAATTAAAGAGTGTATAAACAGAAACTCAGTTGTATGTAAGAAAACCCAGTTCCCCTTGAGAAAGAGAAAGAGCTGGAGTCCTTTAAAAATTAACTGCCTGTTTTACTGTGGCTAGTGAGTCTTTCTCTCCCCCTTTCCCAGGCATTGTGAAGACCCTGATTCCCTAGCTGTGCAGTTGCAAGGTCACTAGACAGATAAACTCAAGTCGCAAAACATGTTTTTCTTTTAAAAGTAAGAAACGATGTAATGCATGTCACAATTAATTAGATAACTGTCTTTATTTCTCATTTCTGTAATATGCTTCCCCCTGCACAGATCTCCCCCCACCCCCACGAAATGCTTAAAAGATAACGTAACTCGTTGTTCAGGGCTCAGTCCGTCCTTTGGATGTTAATCTGATTGGGCTGGTGCACCTAAATAATTAATAAATACCCTCCTGAACCCCATCAGTCTCTCTGATTCCTTAAAAATATCCCACAACATTGGAAACTTCACTTTTTGACCTTTCATACATACATATATGTAAGGAAGATAATCACAACTATGTCATTTTAATATCATTAATTAATGTATAAAGCCTCTAGGGTTATGCCTCAAACTTAGCACTTAATTTTGTTTTTGTCTCTTCACTTTAGCACTGCATTATTCTAACACTTTATATTTAAATACATTTACAATGTGATAGTTCAGTCATTTTCACTAGGGATTAAGAAAGAAAATTTGTCTTTTAGTATGCTTATATGGGCTCTGACATGACAGCTGCAGCTGAGAAAGTTGTCTATATCTTTGGTCTTGTCAACACTGTAAGTATTTATCTTTAGTATTTAACAAGAAACATTTATTTTAATGCAGTAACACTATTTATATAAATAGCATTTTCACTTTTATAAAAACTACAGTTGTGCTAACTAGTTTCATCCACCAATGGATTCTTCTCCAAAATATAGTAAATTGAACATATTAGCATTATGTATGGAGATGTAATGTTATATTTATGGTCACCCAAAGCCGTATATCATATATCTTCTGTTTTCAGATGTTTTCTCAGCTTAAAATGACTATTATTCTATCTTCTTTGGAGCTCTGGTCAGATGAAAATAAGATTTCAACTAATGGGGATGCTGGTGATGTACTACAAAGGTTTTTGTCATGGAAACAAAAATTTGTGTTTCTAAAGTCCAATATCATGGCATATTTATTAATGTAAGCAATTTATTCACACTGATGGGGGGTTTTCAAATATTTAATATGTTCACTATCAAAATTATACACAAAATCTATTATATGTATAATGCTAAGACACCTTAAAAAGATTTATTAATACCGTGTTGTCAAAATGCAGAATATAAAAATCTGACAACCATATAAAGGCACCAATTAAATCATAGTAGGACATTGTTCTTAAAGTGGACCATTTATTTATGAAAATGTAATGAGCTGAAAATGTAATGAGCTGAAAATGTAAAGCTTTTGGATAAACGTGGTGCCTTAATAATTGTAAAGCTATTCTCAGTGATAAATAGTTAAAACCATTATTTTATCATTATTTAAAATGTAAACCAATGGCATGCAAAATATGCAAAAATAATGGAATACAAAAATTGCATATGATGCTGGCTATAACACAAAACATTAAAATAGTAAATAACTGAAATGGATTACTTTATGATCCCTGTGGTTTTTCTGGCATTTCTATGATAATCTAATATATAGCTATTAAACAAATTGCTGTGTATCTTTGAAGAGTCTTTACATGGATTTTTTTTGTTTTACTAATTTGATTATTTAGGGCCCAAAACCCAGTCCTAAAGATCTTAAGCAATACGTAATAAATTTGCAAATCTATGGTGTCTACTGTGGAAGCAGAAATAAGGTTTGGGAATTCAGAAGCAACATTAACAAATGACTAAAATGTGTGAGGATATCGTACTATATCATCTCTTTTTTGTTTTGTAATTAATGTACTGCATGTTCTCTCTCTCTCTCTCTCTCTCTCTCTCTCTCTCTCTCCCTTTTAACATTCCTTACAACATTTAGTGTTGGTTTACTATGTGAAAATTATGGCAGTAAATAACCCTGACTTTTAGATTTTAGAATTTTATCCAGCCAGTTATGATGACAGTAATAATTAATTTTGGGGAAAGATTAGACAGTGCTAGATTTTGTGCTATGTATCATAAAATGTTCAATAACCCTTATAACTTAACTTTATAGAAACTATGGGAGATTATCCAAATCGAAAATGCTTGAAAGTATAAGACACGACCTGCAATATTCATGTTTTAAGGAAAGTATAGCTTAATTGTGGTACCCAATTTATGAAAGGTGATTAAGTTATTAATAAATTAAAATATGTTTATTTTAACAAGAAAAAAATTTTAATTCAGTTATAAGGACCATCCTACTTATGTGGGAGCAATGTGCTATGGAGTGGCATGTGATCCAACATTTGCTGCAGGAATAACTTTGTTTTTTTGTACATTTTATTTCTATCTCTTGGGTAATACCAGATTTTGAAACTTAATATCTACTTGAAGGAGCATAAGTACATATTTTTAGATTTTGAAGCACAAATCATTTTAAAGAGCTTTTTATTATGATAAGAAACATAAAAAATTTACAATCTTAACCATTTTAAGTCCACACTTCAATAGTGTTAAGTATATTCACAATGCTTTGAAAGAAATCTCAAATTTTTTTTTGTCTTGCAAAATTGAAACTCTAAATCTGTTATACAACCTTCATTTTACCCCTGCCCCCAATCTCTGATAACAACCAGTTTGTTTTCTATTTCTACAAATGTGACAACTTTAGGTTATTTATATAAGTAGAATTATATAGTATTTTTCTTTTTGCAACTGGCTTATTTCACTTAACATAATGTCCTTATGGTTTGTTCATGTTGTTGTGTGTGACAAGATTTCATTCCTTTTTAAGGCTGAATAATATTACATTGTGTGTGTATTGTGTGCTTGTGATTTTATTCATTCACATGTCAATGGACACTTAGGTTATTTCATAATTTGGCTATTTTGAATAATGCTGAAAACATAGGAGTATAGATAGCTCTTTAAAATCCTGATTTTAATTCTTTTGGATATATACCCAAGAGTGGGATTGATGGATCATATAGTAGTTACATCATTAATTTTTGGAGAAATCACCATACATATTCCATAGCAGTAGCACCATTTTATAATCCCATCAACAGTACATAATTGTTCACATCTTATACACCACACTTTTATTCCTAGTTCATTTAATATTTTTATTACAAAAGTGTGTGAAATCTTATGAAATGTATTTTCTATAACAATTGAGATGATCACATGGTTTTTGTCTTTCAGTATGTTAAAATAGTGTACCAAATTGTTTTATTTGCATATGTTGAGTCATCCTTGCATTTCAGGATTGACTCTCACTTGGTCATGATACTTAATCCTTTTAATGTGCTACTGAATTCGTTTTTGTATTATTTTGTTGGGGAGTTTTGCGTCAGTGGGTAATGGGGATAGTGGTCTTTAGTTTTCTTTTCTTGTTAAACCTTTGTCTGGCATTGGTATTAAGGTAATGCTGGCCTCATAGAATGAGTTGAGAAGTATTTCCTTTTCTTAATTCTTTGAAAAAGTTTGAGGAGAATTGGCGTTAAATCTTCTTTACGTGTTTTATAGAAATCTCCACTGTAGAAATCTTATCCTGGGATTTCTGTATTCAGAGTTTGGAATATTATGTCAATCTTTTTACTAGTTCTGTGTCTTTTAGATTTTCTATTTCTTCATGAGGCAATCTTGGTAGTTTGTGAATGTGTAGTAATTTATACATTTCCTCTAGTTTATCCACTTTTTTGGCATACAGTTGCTCCTAGAGTTATCTTATGTTTTTATTT